ACAAGAATCACACAAAAAAAATAATTATTAACAATTTATTATTTAGCTTAAATATCATGATTAAATATAAGTAATACAAATCTATATCTTAATATTTAAATGAATCAAATGATATTAATTTTGCAAATTATGTATCTGTGACAGATCTTGTTAGAGAAGTAAATCATCAGTTACTTCAAAATATTCTTGTACTTATAGGAATTACTAACCAATCCTACAAATCTAGTTATCATAATTATCAAACTTCTTTATACAAATCTATTCAACTTCTCTCTAAACAAAGTGTATTAGATACTTTTAATAGGATCATTGACTATCTGAAAAAATTAAGGAAAAATATACTAACAGTCATTTTTGATATTGGATGATCTCATGTAAGAAATATGAGTGAAGCTAGTGATGAACTTATTTATCAAGAAGATTATCCAGATATATTAAATTATTTTTTATGATAATTTTTTTATAAGCAATATCATTTTTATTCATAATAAAAAATCCTATTTTATTAGATTATTTTAATAGACTAATGATTGCATATTATATCATAATAAAATTATGTACTAGTAAAAGAAATGATCATATTTTTTACTTTATGTGAGAGAAATCATATATCAAATTTACATATTATAGAACATGTAATTCTTATTGATTTACTTTCTCAAATTCAATCAATTCTTAAAGATAAGAATATGTTACTTGAAATTTGTATTAATAGAGATCTAGAGATAAATAAGACTTTGAATCGTATACTATATATAAACAAGATCTTTACAGATCTCAAGTATTTAAGTAAAAATATAAGAAAATCTCTTGATAAGTTAAATCTATTAAAATTCAAATTAAATAATTAAACTGAAATTTCTACTTATTTTAAATAGAAAAAAATAACAAATGAAAGAGATATGTATCACAAATAATATGATACTTTAATAATTATATATATATAGCAGGATTTAGAAAGGAAAATAATGCATTAAATATCTTAATAAATAGTAAACTTTGAAAAATATAATGTCAAAAACTTCTCAAATATCTTACAAATAATTATTTTATATATTAAAATAAGATCTGTTAGCATAAAGATAATCTTGAGTTAGATCTATCAATTCCAAATCTCAAAGATTCTACTATAAAAGAACGTAATGAATTTTTAACAATAATTCAAAGTATCTTCAGATTATCTGCTAAATAATCTCTTATAATAATCTCATGAACTGTAAATAATGAGATCATAAATCAAATCAAACTTATATTTACAAATAAGCTATTTGATTTCTGATAATTATATAAAGCATAATATATCCTGATAATTATTTATAATAATAAAGAACTAGTAGAAATATTATAAAATATTTAAAATTTATATGAAGAATAAATATTCAGTAAAGAAGATATAGCAAACTTAGAAAAATTAATAAAGGAAAGAAATGTTCAAAAGCTTAGAAATCAGTGAGTGGTAAAATCAAAATGAAAAATAGGTAGTAGAATTTATGACATAATAAAGTGATTTATAGCTTTTTAATTTTAGTCAAGAATTAATATCTTATGATCTTAAAGTATAAGAAAGCATGATTTGACAAGAATTTAACACTCTTTTATATCATTGCTTGAAAACTTTGAAACTACTACCAAATATCTTGGATATCACTTCTTTTCAAGATTTTGCTCATGAGGGCTCTGTCAAGTATATTAATTTTATATTCTTAATGGCTTTGAAAATTGGATTCTTGATAAGTCTTTCAATATGTTAAAATATAAATATGAACCTTAATCTTTGAATGATGTGACTAATTCAGTATTGCAAGAAGTATTTGGATTTAGCTCATTTCATGATATATAACAATAAATGATCATGACATATATTCAAGAAAGTGATATATTATTATTGATGCAAACTGAAGATGGAAAGTCACTATATTATACAGTATCAACTTTGCTAAATCCAGGATTAACTGTAGTATTTAGTTCTCTGAAGTCTTTGATTGATGATTAAGTGATAGATTAATTTTTCTTTTCAAAAATTTTTTTGTAAATAATTTAAAGATTTATATTTTTACAGATGAAAATATTCATTGCTGGATTCCATATGCTGGTCTTTACATATCAAATAATCAATCATCTAATTTTCAAGAGCAAGTATTTATAGAAATTTCTTCAGGAATTATCCATATTTTATTCACAATTCCAGAAAAATTTAAATGTAATACTCAATTCAAAATATTAATTAAAAATATAATCATCTTTCAAGAAATTCATTTTATAATTAATAAAATATATTATATAAAGAATTATACCTATTTTTAGTAAGAATCAATAATATATTGAGAAGATACAAAAAAAAAATTCTTATATATATAATCATTTATTTTAATATTAGTAAGTCATGATGTCATCTATCTTAGTTAAAGACCATTTGTCCCACAGCTCCAATTCTTATGATAACTGTAACCTTAACTTATAATAATATTCAAGATATTATGATAAATCTGGGTCTTGATTTTTTATGTGTGAAAATAATATATAGAGCCATATTAAAACATGATGAATTAATATATAAAATTATAAAAAAAAATCTAGAGAAGAAAATCTTAAAGAAACATTTATATAAATAAAATCAATTTTTGAATATTCTATAATCTATTGCGTGACTCAAAAAGATTATTATGAAGTTGTGGATTTTTTGAGAATAAATTTAAGAGATAAAAACATAAAGGTAAATATTTATCACAGTGGAATACTAACTGAGAAGAAAAAGTCTACCATGAAAAAATAGAAAAAATGATCTATTGAGATTATGATTACTACCAATATCTTTAGATTAGGTATCAATATACCAGATGTTTATTTAGTAATTCATTATATAATACCTCTAAATTTAAGTAAGTTCTATTAGATATTTTCAATCAAAAGATCATTTTTCTATTAATTCTAACCTTGTAATATTAGGTAATTATATTTAAGAAACTGGTAGAACAGGTTATAATAGATTGTTAGCAAAATATATCTTGTTTTATGCAAGAAAAGATATATGGGTACTTTATAATATCATTATAGGTGAATGAGAAAAATAATCTAGAATATTTTAGTAGTATTAGAAAATTAACTTAATTCTTACTCATAATTACATTATTTAGTCTAACTGATATTACAATAAAAGATAAAGAAATGAGATAGGTATATCTAATGAAATATTAAAAAAATCTGAAAGATGATTTTCTTTTGTGAAACAAAATATAAATGCAAATAAAATGCTCTTATTCAGTATTATAATTGGAAAATACTGCTATTAGAAATCCAATCATCTACTATTGAATCATTATGTGAAAAATGTGATGTATGTCAATTGCAAGCAAAAGAAAAACTAATTATAAAAAATATGAAAATGCCAGTCTTGAAATTATTGAATGTGGTAAAAGTTATTATAGGACTTGGATTGAATATAATAACTGCCAAAAATATTATTAATATTTTTTACAAATTAAAAGATGCTCTGCTTAAGTATAAAGAGTTAGAAATCTACTGAAAAGAGTGAGATACAGAAGTAAAACTTATTAATAACAAGGCTAAAAGACTTTTTAATGATCTTGTAATTCATAAAATAATTTTAATAGATATCATTCTGCAGTAAGACAAAACTGCAGGTATTTTCTCTTGGACTTTTCTAGTCTTAGAAATTTCTGATGATGCATAAGTAAAGTTAGAACAAGAAATATAGAACTATTTAAAGAAAGGATATAAAAAATTCTAGAATCAGATTAATTGAAAAATGAATTTTGTTTTTTATTTTGTTCTGGTTATTTTTTATTTTATAAGCTAATTAATTTTGTTTATTCATTTAAGATAATTCAAGTTTGCTAAAAGTTTTAATACAACTTTCTCTTTTTGTATGGTGATGATCTTATCTTCAATTTTTGTTTTTGTTTTATCACTTTGCTATTTTATTTGATATTTAGATATAATCAAATCTTTAAATATATTATACAATAAAAGTATCCAAAAAATCTGAAGTTATGTGCAGAAATAATTTGGATATACAAGTGATAAAAAACATATTTTGAAACAGATAAGTCATTCATTTATTTAGAGATTGAACTCAGATCAATACAATCTGAAGAATATATATTTTTTTATTCTAGGAGTTATTTAATCCACACAAGATATTTAGATATCTACTTAATGCTAATAGTATATGAAGTGATAGTTATTGCTAAATAATAATTAATATTAAATAATGAAGAGCTATTCATTTTGAAACTTGAGTCAAGAAATAATTCAAATAATCAGCATTCCTGAATAATTAACAAAAAGATAAGCTAATTTATATTTCTTAACTTTAGTTTTAGTTTTAATATTTTTTATTATTTTTAATAGATTGGCTAATTATTTCAAGAACTAGAACAATATGCAAAGGAGGAATAATCAAAAAGGGTTAAGAGTCTTCATGAACTATTAATAAAAAAACTCTATTTCTATAATTCTAACTTCACTAAAAATAAAAATATCCTCAAAAATATAAAATCATCTATAAGTTTAGCTTGTAAATACTTGAAGATTACTATCATACTGAAATTACTATAAAGTCTGCCAAGAGTAAGAATATTACTACTGATAAGAGGAAAGCTCAAGAGCTAGATAATTTTTAAATAGCATTACATCAAAGTTAGTTATGTATTTTTGTATTACATCTTCTTTTCATCTGTACTATAAAATTTTTTTTAATTATAAAATATTCCTTTAAGATTTATGTGAGTTTAATAAATATCTACTCTTATATTATAAATATATCAGTATAATTAGTATACATGAATTATTAGATATAATGATAAAAATGTATATTATAGGTTATTTGACTTCTATTTAATATTCATCAATCAAAACTTAATTACTTGATTAGATTTATTAGTCACATTACTATTTGTAATATGATAACATATAAATTTAAAATAGTTTATATTTTTATTTAATGATATAGAAAACTCTATTCTTGAATCTTTGATTAGATTCTTCTTCTAAAGTTATCTCTCAAGAATCTATTTTTGTACCTAAAAATTCAGTGAATAAACTTGGTAATGTATTAAGTGAATTTGATAAAATTTATATTGATCATACAACTGATATTCTTCAATAATTATCTAACAAATATTAATTTAACTTATAATGATTATATTTTTTAAATAGAAATAATAATAATAGACTAATCATATGAAGACAAATTATTTGTCTACTTTTATTTTATTACTTTACTGAAATCAGAATCTAATTATCTTCTATTAGTGAAAATACTAATCAAATATAAGTCCAAAATTTTAGATCAATAGAAAAATTATTATTCTAAGAATAATTGTAATAATTAAATAATTTACAGAGATTTTTTTTGGATTTTTTAAATATATATTCTTTAGTTATATAATTTATTCTAATGAAATAAAGTATTACAAAGCACATGCTTAATTTTGTGTGATAAATCTTAATTTTTGTATTAGCCAAGTCTTTATTAGCTTTTTCATAATAAATTTATATAAAATTGCTAAGCTACTATTAAAGTACAATTCAGAATATTGATATCAGATATAATTAAATATTGATTTCAACAATTAAGATCAAAATAAAAAGCAGAAACCATTAAGTTATGTGATAATATGACATAATAAATAACAGTTATTCTAAATTTATAGATTCAGCTTAAATATAGCATAAAAATATTATTGTACCTATATAGTCAAATTCTCTCTTAACAGGTTATTAATAATGTAATCTCAAATATAGAAACTGTATAATTGTTGTTAATTTTAGTGATGTGAGCTGTCATATTTTTATCGACCAGTCTAGTTATTATAATTTTATCAGTCAGGTCAGCTGGGCCAGTTTAGTATAATTTTCAAAAATAGAAGATGGCCAAAGTAAAGGTAATGTATGAAATTATTAAATTAATAATAATTTTTTAGTTAAGTTATTGATATTTAATATACATATATAAGTAAAATTTCATGCTAAACATTTTTACTTAGAAGTTAAAGGCTAGTTATTATAGTAAAATTTTGAGTTATTTACAAATTTTCATTTTTTTTGCTTGTTTTAAACTTTATATATTATACATAATCTTGTAATTAAATTGATTAACTTTATTAATATTGAAATTTAATTAGACTGATTTCATGTATTATCCCTACTTTAAATGATCTTTTCAAAAAAGAAAATAAAAAAAGATAAATTGCTTAATATTTCTTATAATTCAAGTCCTAAATAAACATTAAAAAGCTTACTATTATGTTTTAAAAATAAAATATCATGAATAATAACAGAAGAAAGATAATTTTATTTTTTAATTATTATATTTCCTGCATCTGAAAAAAGTCTTTCAGAAGGAACAGATATAGCAGAAATAGAAAGATATTTTTATGCTTGTTTAATATGATATAAAAAAGTTTTTATATTATTATTCCATCACACAAGTGAATTTTCTTTTTGATAAAGAGGATTAGAAAGAGAATGCTTATAAATTTGTGATATAGATTTATAAATTTATATTTTAAAAGATATTGAAGAGGATTTATTTATTGAATTTTCATCATCAAAGAATAAATTTATTTATTTAAATATCATTGAAATAGATATTGAAGATTCATTATTTTTTGCTTCCATTTCTTCTAATATTTGAGATTGTATATTATTCCATTTTATACTAGCAAATTTCATATTTTTAAATTATGAATCAAAATAAGCTACAAAATATTCAATATCATTAATATTATTCTATTATTGATCTAATAATTCTTTGATTATATTACAAGCTTTCAAAACTGATTCATTAATAATAATTAAACTTTTTGTTAAAAGATAAATGATAAGTTTTATTAAAATAGGATATATTATATTGTTACCGTTTTAAGATTATGCGTATGTAATTATTTTAAAATGGTAATAGTGACTGTGTTCACAGCAATTATTTACTTTTATATCTGTAGAGGCTATTTGACTA